TCTCCAAGCCCAGCACAAGTAGCAGCCAGCTCAGATTGCTTTACAGTTCAGGCAAGGTACCCATGGGTGAAACAGGTGGGGGCTGACCTTGGCCTGTACCACTGGGGAAATGCCAAGGCCAACACACCCAGTGGACAGCTGCAGACCACCTCGGAGCACCACCACGCTGCCCCTGCACAGCCAATCCTCCATGGAGGGCGGAGACTGGTTGTCAGTGGTCACAGCCAGTCCTTGCAGCTGACTGGCCTGGGTAAATCCCTCCCATTGACCTGCCAACAGCAACCAAGTCTCAGCTACAAGAGGAGGGTATACTCAGCCCACACGAAGGGCACACATCAAGTACCTAGCTTGGATGATAGGGGAGGCTGTGCCACTGGACCCTACAGGACACCTACTACATTAGGCCACACTATCAAGACGCAGAGTCAAAAGAGTTCCAACTAATACATAGGAATAAACACTGGGAGGCTGTCAAAATGAGGAGACAAAGAAACATGGCCCAACTGAAATAACAGATCAAAACTCCAGAGAAAGAGCTAAATGAAATGGAGATAAGCAATCTATCAGATGCAGAGTTCAAAACACTGGTTATAAGGATGCTCCAGGAACTTAGTGAGGATCTGAGGAGCATAAAAAAGACCCAGTCAGAAATGTAGGATACACTGATTGAACTAAAGAACAATTTACAGGGAAACAACAATGTAGTCGATGAAGCCAAGAATCAGATCAGATCAATGATTTGGAACACAAGAAAGTAAAAACAACCAATCAGAACAACAAGAACAAAAAAGGAACCAGAAAAAATGAGGGTAGTATAAACAGCCTCTGGGACAACTTTAAGAGATCGAACATTCACCTCATAGGGTGCCAGAAGGAGAAGAGAAAGAACAAGAAATTGGAAATCTATCTGAAAAATCAGTGAAAGAAAACTTCGCTTTGTGAAGGAAATCTGGTGAAGGAAATAGACATGCAAGTCCAGGAAGCACAGAGAGTCCCAGTTACGATGGATGCAAAGAGACCCACTCCAAGACACATCATAATGAAAAGGCCAAAGGTTAAAGATAAAGAGAGACTCTTAAAAGCAGCAAGAGAAAAGAAGTTAATTACCAGAAGGGTGCCAGATGGGAGGGGTGAGGGGGAAAATGGGTGAAGAGGTGAGGGGATTAAGAAGTACAAATAGGTAGTTACAGAATAGCCACGGGGATGCAAAGTACAGTATAGGAAATGGAGTAGCCAAGAACTTATATGCATGACCCACGGACATGAACAATGGTGGAGGGACTGCCTGAGGGAGTGGGGGGCGCTGGTGGAGGGGAGCAAAGGGGAAAAAAATCAGGACAACTATAACAGCATAATCAACAAAATATCACTAAAAATAAATTTAAAATATTTTTTTGAAGAAAGAATAAATGAGTTTGTCTTAGGGGAGTCTTATAAGGATTAAGTGAGTTAACTTTATAGGGCTGTTATGAGGGTTAAATAAGGTAGTATATAAAGAACAGTGCTGAAGCAGGTAATCCCAGGTAAAAACAGCTAAAGTATTAACTACTAGTTTTTCAGTTTCTTAATACATTAAAAATGTGGAATATTTACTTATTTTTGTTTGCTGATTTTCATTTCAGTTTTGCATATAATGCCTGAAAAGTTTGTTTCATTAGAAATTTATTTTGTGGAGACATAAGTCGCTCCTTTTCCCAGTTAGACCCTCCAGAGGTCATCGCTGTGCATCGCTTTAGGGACATGTCCATTTGTGCAGCCTAAGAAATGGGGAAGAGGACACAGCCAGTACATTTATTCCCCAAAAGAATGGGGGAAAGATGTGAAAATCTTTTGCAGAAAGTTTTTATAATGAAAATTGGGTACTTTTAAACAAAATCAGCTCTTTTTCTAATCATCTAGAGGCCCAGTGCCTGATTATCATAAATATTTTTCTCTTTTTTTAATCAAGGCAGTTATAAGGATGCACAAATTGGCTTTGCATCCCCACCAGAAGTGAAATTTATTCTTTCACTCACTCTCTCATTCATTCATTCAGCACATATTTTTGAGTGCTTAACACGTCCCAAACAGTCTTAGGCACTGAGGTTACCAAAGTTCTTCAGCTAGACATACTGCCTTAATAAAATGCACATGCTGAGAGATGTCACAAATAGTGAGGATCTGCTTTCTTTGTAGAGGTTGAGATACTTCTTGCAGGCCCAGCTTTGGTATTTTTCATTAATTTCTGTCCCTGGTGTTACCTTGTTCCAAATAATGACTGCACTATAAGACCCTGGCATATTACCTTTGTAAGGGGCCCCAGAGATCACTTAATTTAATGGCCTCATGTTACAAAGAAACTCAGAGAATTTAAGTGGCATACAGATCCCATGTCATATACCTTTTTTTCTCAAAGTATTAATATGAAAATTTTCAAACACACACAAAACTGGAAAAATTTAGAGTGAACACCCATATGCCTGACACTCAGATTCTACTAGTATATTGTGAGTGTGTGTATATTTTTTAATAATGTTTTCTTGGGCTTTGCTGATTATTGATCTCATTTGTAATATTGGAAAATTATTTACAGCACACTAAAGGGTGGATTATACTTTTAAGTGAAGTCAGTTAATTTTTTTTTATTTTATTAACAAAACAAAAGGAAACTTAAAGTCAGAGATAGTAGACAGCAGTTGTAGACTTATAATAACTTTCAATTTAATATTGGACTTAGTTAACTGTTTGAGTGACTCTTTTGTGCAAGAAAAAGGCTAGCTTGTTTTGGAAATCTAAGGTAACTTAAGTTATGGTCCCAGTTTTAGAGCTCTTACCATCTATGCAGAGAGAAGAGAAATCCATTCATTCATTCACTGAGTTGTAGTTAAGCATATACGACAATAAAAATTCAGTGTAAAAAACTGATACTCAAACTACGTAAGTCCTGCATTAGACTGTTCCTCTGTTTATCGTTAATTTACGAGATGTATGCTTAATGCTTTTCTCACATTCCACGTGTTTTTATACACTGAGTAGACCAGGTCAGTAGGAATGAGAAATTGTACTTTTGAGGAGTAGGAGATAGAGAGGTTGGGGCTAAATAACGAGAGACTTTGAATCCCAGGACTTTGACTTTGTCACATGAATGTCTAAGAATTGGTGAGTGATTACGAATAGAGGAAGAGCCACCATCAATCAGTAGCCTCTACGCTTTCTAAGTTGTACGCTGCTGGTGTCCGAGGAAGAGACAGCTGGTAGTTGTGTGGACGATGAACTGGACAGAGGTCTTTAGTTAGTTAGGGAGGCCAGTAGGAGAACGTTGCAGATGCCCTGGTGTGAGAGGGTAAGGGGTGCACCCGGGCGACGGGTAAAGGGGATGGACCTTAAGGAACTGCAATGCAAAGTGTGTGTGTGTAACAGACATGAGGGAAGCAAGGGAAAGAGGAGAAAAGGTAGAGCCAGTGGTGGGCTAGAGCTGGTTGGTACCTGCTCGGGAGGGTAGGTGACATGTTTCTCTTCTCACCCCCATCTTCAGTGACAGCATGCCTGCAGATTGAAATCAGCTGTCATAGAAATATTTACAGTTCCGATAGCAGCAAACGCTACAAGTCAGGGAGGCAGTTTACCTGCACACCACGGGGTGAGCCCAGGATTTTGAATTTTGGTCACAATTAAGTGAATAGAGGTTTTGGAGAAGATACTGAGTTCAGTTTGGGACCTGTTGACATGGTAGTAACAACTGGGAGCAGTCTGAAAATGTGGCAGATTCCATCTATAAATGCCATTCACTATCCTTTGGGTAAAACTATAAAAATGTTGTTCAATGAGTTGCTTTTATTACACTGTCTCAGAATTGAAACGAAAAGATGAAATCGTTCTGAGGACACATGTTTTGCATTAGGACTGTAATTTCATTGCAGAAACATAAAAACACCATTGTTTTTCAGTAAAAATTTTTACAGCTATAGTAGTTTCTTATGGGTCAAAGAGTAGCTAAGCCACAAAATAAAATAATAATTCAGCTGAGAATTCATGGTAATGGGAGCTCCCATTATCAGGGAGAAAGAATCATGTGCTATTATTCAGGAAGAAAAGCAAAGCGAGGCTGTGAGATTTCACAGACCTCAGCTCTTACTTGAACTCTTAGGCTGGAAGGTCTACTCCTTCCTTCCAGGGCTATTCTTTAAAAAATTGAAACGGTTTAGTTTCTTCAGCGGAGATTTGTGAAATAAATTATGAAGCACCAGTCGAGGATAATTCATAGACTAGCATTAGTGGGGAAAAATAAGACCTATTCAGTGAAACGATGTTACAAAGCAGTGTTGTTGCGTGATCCCCATTTTGTATTAAAATTTACTGTGCCAAAGACATTATGTTAAGTGAAACAAGCCAATCAAAGAAAGACAAATACCATATGATTTCACTTAAATGTGGAACCTAATGACCAAAACCAACAAACAAAAAAGAAACAGACTCATAGATACAGAGTACAGACTGACAGCTTGTAAGAGGGGAGGGGTGGTGGGGGGTTGGGTGAAAAAGGTGAAGGGATTAAGCAGTACGAATTGGTAGTTACAGAATAGTCACAGAGATGTAGATTACAGCATAGGAAACATAGTTAATAGCATCGAGATACATATGTGCGGGGCCAGGTGGGTACTTGAAACCGCGAGGGGATCACTCTGTAAAGTACATGATTTTCTAACCTCTTTGCTGTACGCCTGAAACTAATACAGAATAATATCGAATGTCAACTGTAATTTTAAAAAGTCTAAAAAAACAAAAGCAAAACCCATATTGTGTCTATGCATTAAAAGCCTGGAAAAGTCCAAAGTTTAAAAGCGCCCTTTTCTGCTTGGTGGGATTATAGGGTGCTGTTTGTTTATTCCTGTTGTGTCTATTTTTGCTGCAGAATTGCTGGTGCTAAGAAAAACGTCTTCATGAAATAAGAAAAGATGCACTGCCCCTATGTGCAGCTGAGTACGGCGTTACAAGTAACTTGATAATTTAAAATTTTACAGGGTGTTCCTGGAGCAAAGGGAGAGCGGGGAGAACGAGTAAGTAGCCTGTCTGACTCTGCTTACACGCCAGAGCTAACTGCGCCCCTTGCCTTGCTTGGCCTGACGAAGCATCACCATTTGCTATCAGGATCCTTCATCGCTCTTGGCCATTTCTTCTCCCCCCACTCCCTCCTCAACTCCTTGGAGCATGAGCCCATTTTCCAGTGGAAAACACCTCGTGGGCTGGAAGTCTGGAGAGCTGGTTACTAGTTGCAGATTTGCTACCATCCATCTAGGTAGATGACCTTCAGTCCATTTCTTTAAGAAGCCATAGAATTAAACTCTTCACCCAAGTGGATGTGATAAAGAAATTATATAATGCAGGGGGAAAGGCTTCAGAAAAGTAGAAGCTCTGTACAGACGCCAAGGAGTAGAAGAAGGCTCGGGTGTTTCTGATACTGGCACCCGGAAAGACAGATACTGGCAGGCAGAGAATCAAAGAACTGGCCATGGAACTTAAATCAGCTTCTTTGAGGGGCCTTATCTCTCCTTTGAGAAATTGTACAGCTGCTAATATAATTCTGCTGTCAACTATCGTGGAAACAGCAGTGACCTTGGGTGTGTCCAATTACCTCTGTGAAACTTGGGTGATGTATTTAACTGTCTGTCCATAAAATGGGTTTAACACCTTTCCTTGGAGTCGTTATTTGTATTAAGTATGCTAGTTCTCAAAAAAGTGCTGCATTTTATAAGCTCCAAAGAGCTATAAATGAGGCATTAAATAATATACATATGGGTTTGTTTCAGAACTATTAAATTTTTTAGAATCTGGGACCATAAATGCTTCCTTGAGCTTTTTAAGTTAATAAGGACCCCCAGGAACCTGTAATAACCAGTTAATACTGGCACCAGGAATGTCAAATTGCTTTCTCCTTCTCTGCATGCTCCACGGTGGTCGATTCTACCTGTTGCTTGGAGCCAAAGAGCCCAGGTGGGAAGAGTGGATCAAGTCAGATCTCTAGCGGGACGTCCTGCCACGTGGCTGGGCTTGTGGTTGGGAGTCAGGGATCTGCTTTTCTTTTCATCCAGGGCGACCTGCAGTCTCAAGCCATGGTGAGAGCGGTGGCGCGTCAGGTGTGCGAACAGCTCATCCAGAGTAAGTGCACTATAGTTCCAGACGCTCTCTGTTGCGCGTCCAAACGGAGATGTGCCTTTCCCATGAGTGCAACGGCGGAGGAAAATACCTCAGCACAGACACGCAAGTTTCACAGATGGCCGTCGCCAAGCCATCCAAGAGACCACGCAGATTACCCCAGATTTCTGCATCGATGGTACAGACGCCAAGTTCCTCCTGTCACCTGTCCAAGAGCTCTCTGCTTGCCCAGAGAGATTTAACTTGACTGCCCAGATCAAATCTTTTATTCCTTCTCCATCTCCCCAAATGGATCACTTATTGTTTTCAAGTACTCAGCACGTGTAAGCTGCCAGACAGAGGCATCGGAAGCTACCTGTGAAAACATGACTTACAGTGTTGGTTTTCATTAACTCACTAGATTTAAATCAATGCCTCCTTCTTATCCATTTCTTTCGGTTAGTCCAAGCTCCTCTCCTTTATTTTTTAAGGTTTATAGCAACACACACACACACACACACATGGACATTCTTCATGAGACATTTGGTATCATACTTGTGCTTTATGCCAAAACTTACCCTGGAATACACTTGGTGTGACACCTGTCCCATTTTTTCACTTTAAACCTGAGCTTTTCCATAGTCCAGCATTTCGGTTACTAAGTCCTGCTTATTCACTTACCACTCATCCATTTTGCACATTTCCATCCTGGCCACTGACTATATTTTGTCTCCATAATCTAACCGGAGGGCCCTTCTCTTTGCCAGTAATTTGTTCAGTTCCACGCAGAGCTGAGGCCAAGCAGAGATGAAACACTCCTCTTAAACCCTGCCAGCTCTGGCCCTCTGCTGCCAAGCCCTCCACCCCATAGTGTCTTCTGTCTCCAGGGCTGACCTCACCCAAGTGGCTGCCTTAGCAGCCTTGAGGTTATATTTAATTTAAGCCAGGCAAATTTGGGGGTCCTGTAAGGGTCCGAGAAGGCCCAAAGTGCAGGGCCCAAAATGCCACATGCAGCTGATAAAACCAGGTGTCTCCTTGGGAAAGGCTTGGAATAAAAGTCTGCATTGGCTTGGGACAAGTTTCATGAGGACAAAAATCTCAAGGCAAAGGAGTATAAAGCTACCATCTCCAGGCATAATAGTAATGCCCTCTATATTTTAACTTAATTTCATTTTATATTATATTGCTCAAACTGAATGTGCATATGAGAGAGAATTTACCAGTGAAATGAAGCTGTTAAGTTTAATGCCAAAATAAGATCTTGATAAATATAGTAAGTTATAAAGGGGAAATTGAGCAGTAAGTAGACTCTGTCAAAAGCTAACCCGTATCTTGGATTCTTTTGTAGGTTTCTCATTTCAAGCATTCAGTGTAAATGAGCAGATAATTATTTTAAAGAAACCTAAGGGTTAAATCCTAGTATGACTCGCTGACCAGAGTATGTAGAAGATTTCACAATAGCTGCTGTCTTATCCCACTCTAGGAGAAAAGTTTTATATAAATATATGATTGTTTATAACATCACTCAAAAAGGAGAGTTTAAAATCGAGTGTTTTCCCCTCAGGAATTCTCAGATTCTAGTGAACGACTTGCAGGAACCGGGAGCCAGCGGGGGAGTTATACCAGAACACCGGGATGGTTCTGTGAGATAGAGGCTCTGCCTCTCTAGGCAGCTGTGGGGGAAAGAAATAGGAGAGACTGTATGGGTAAGACCCAGCCCACCCGGAGGCTGCATTTCTGGCCCTCCACCATCCCGCATGCGCTGCAGGTTGCTCTGGGCTCCTCTTTTCACCCCTGGGAACTTGATTTCTCAGTTCATGCATAATGCCTCACATACTCAGGTCTCTGGTTTTCAGTCCAGAGCTTATCAGAACAATTATGCTAGGAAAGGTCATATGGGAAACTGTGAGGCCAAAGTGATGACGGCTGGAAAAGTGATAGAGGACATCCCATCGTCAAAGAAGGAAACCGAAAAACGTCGCTGCAGGATTGCCTGACCCCACCCAGCGTTCATGGGCGTTCATGGGCGCGGCTGCTGATGGCAGCTGAGTCATCAGGAAGCCAGTCCTGGTTACAGTCATGGTCCTCTGCTTAAGAATGCTTGAATACATTTTAGAAATAATCCCTCTAAAAACGGTTACTGTTATTTTCTTTAAAAAAAGATTTTATTTATTTATTTTTAGAGAGGGGAAAGGAGGGAGAGAGGGAAACATCAATGAGCGGTTGCCTTTCTTCATGCGCCCCCTACTGGGGACCTGGCCCGAAACTCGGGCATGTGCCTTAGACTGGGAATTGATCCGGCGACCCTATGGTTCCCAGGCCGGCCCTCAATCCGCTGAGCCACACCAGCCAGGACACTATTCTGTATTTAAGTTTGAATGTTTGAGAAGGGATAAGTATTAGTTATCTAGAAGGTTCATCATCTCCTCATGATGCTTGAAAAATGAGGCATTCTGATATCAAGCATTCTATTAATCTGTACTTCTAATTATTAAAATATATCCCTCCAGGCAAAACTAAGGTAAGTGGCTATGGCAGAGAAAGCCAGATTTTAAAAACAAATAAATAAATAAAGCTAGCGGGAGTCCCTGAAGCTGGGGCCCAAACAAAGGTTACTGCGCAAACGCTTGGCAACAGGGAAAGGAGCTGAAACAGCACTTGTCTGTGGATTTGTGAGCAAGAGGGTGGAGCAGACTTTGAGGGCTGGAAAAAAGACAACTTTTGAGGGGAAATTGTTGGAGAAAAGGGGCAGCTGGGTGAGGATTTAGGGGGTCAGATAAATGCTAGGGGGAGGATAAAATTCACGACCTCTCTTCAAATGATATTTATGAGATGCTGATGTGAGCTGTGGAATTCCAAACGCATGAGATGCGACTTGAATACAATCCAGCTGTTAATAGCATCCAAAGTGAAATGTAAAAGGGTTGGAATTGGAAATCAGCATGTTTCAGAGGGGTGTGCTTTCCCCGTTGGTGGGCATCTAGCAGAGTTGTTCGGAGCCTGGACAGATAACACCTCCAGTCCTCCCTTTGTTTGTGTGACAGTTGACTGAAAGCTGTCTTTGTCCTTCCTGTCTCAGGTCACATGGCCAGGTACACAGCCATCCTCAACCAGATTCCCAGCCACTCCTCATCAGTCCGGACTGTCCAAGGGCCTCCTGGGGAGCCGGGGAGACCCGGCCCTCCTGGAACCCCTGGTGAACAAGGACCCCCAGGTACCCCAGGCTTCCCAGGAAATGCAGGTGTGCCAGGGACCCCCGGAGAACGAGGTAAGCTGGACCACCCTCCTCACTGAGAGCAGTGAAGCAGAGCCGAACAGTGGTGCTTACCCAAGGATAAAGTCCAAAATAATGGACCTAATTTAATTTTACCCCATCGATTCTGCAGCTTCTTATTTAATCCCAAGGTTGAGAAAATTGAGTAACCTGTGAAGTGTTTACCAAGAGCCACACCTGAGTGTATGAAAAAAGAGGGTCAGGACCCCCAACTACCTCTAAGAGGCTTTTGTGTTCATGAGAGAATGATGTCCCTTCTAGAGGGAGGAATTAAGAAAAGATGCCCCTCCCTGGACATCTGTGGCACCACATACCCATCACAGCTAGCAGAGAACTCGCTTCCTAGGTCTGCTGCTTTTTTTGTGCAATGCCCATACTAGGCCATAGTTAGTGGCAGCCCTGGAGCGAGTCATGAGTCACATGTGCCTGTGAAGAATGTGCCAGCTTTCAACTTCAGGTTAAATACTGTCTGTGGCTTGTCTTCCTATAATATGAGGCAGCATTTTATTTAATAATTTAAAGGGCCAATGTTTTATATTTCCTACTAAAATTTCTTTAAAACAGAGATACTACTTAGCCTTTTCTCCTACCCTTTACAGTCTTAACAGTATTGTATAATGCAATGATAAGATCAAAGAGATGTGGGAAATTAGGGCTAGATATTAACCACAAAGTGATGGGTAAAGAGGCAACTGATAATAGTATTTTCTAAGACACAATTTATAGAATGTAGATCTGAGCCAAAAATTACCTATCCGCTCTGGGAGTCACGTTGCTTTTGTGAGATGGGTAGGATATATCCCTTTTATAAGATCCGGGAAGTAAAATGCACACCACAAAGATACTATTTCACATTCATTCTTGATGCACGCAACAGGCCAAGTGCATTTCTTGCATCTGCACTTTTGTACCCATTGTTCCTGCTTTGGAAGCGTCATTTTCATTTTCTGTCTTCTGTACCTCTGACTCTGAGTTCAAGGCTCACCCTAACCCCTGTCTCATGCGTGAAGTTGGCTTGATCGCCCCAGTCCACAAATATCTCCACCCCCTGAGCTCCGGTTGCCTTGACCATATCTCTCCCCCGTTTTAACACCCATCAGGTGCTGATGCACCACGAGATTTCTGAGAACAGGGATCAGGTCTGAATTGCTTTGCACATAACAGGTACTCACTAGGTTATTGTTGCTGTGACTACGACCCAGTTCTGATTTTCCTTTCTGAAGGCTTTTCCCCTGCAAGAGCAAAAACTAAATTAGCAAAGGAAGAGACAGACACAATTTCCCTGTAGAACACCAAATACCTGGCAGCCAGGAGGGTGGCCCCCTCTGTCAGCAGAACACCCTCGGACGGTGCTGGCGACGGGTCACCTGTGACTCAGGGAGCACAGAGCCAATGCCTGAGTCATCCTCAGCAAGTCACGAGTTGTCTCTGTTCTTTTTGGAAACCCTGTCCTTGTTCTTGCCAGGCTGAGTCTTTCTTGCTCTGCAGGAGCACTCGAACGCTTAGACCAGGGGAAAAGCACCCAGGAGTTTGCCAATGGTGGCCCAGACAACCCTTGAAATATGAATTTCCATGAAATAACTTTCTTACCTACATATAGATATACAGGGGGGACCCCAGAAAAACCTAGAATTATCTTCTGGAGAGCGGGCCCTTGTAGCACATGCTTCCCCTGCTTGGTGAGTGTTCTGGGAACCCGTCTGTATCAGTGCACCAGCTGGCGTTGTTGTGAGAGGCTGCGTTCAGCTTCTGTGAATTTTTGTGAAGACTCTTTCAAGGCATTTGCCCGTTTCATGGCGGGTGATTGATGAACACACCTGCCCTACCCTCCCTATTCACCTGATCTTGCCCCAAGTGATGTTTTTTTGTTTCCCTGGATGAAAAAAGTCCTCAAAGGGAAATGTTTTGTGGAAGAGGTGAAACAATAAATGGCAGAGCCCTAAAAGGCATCAAATTCAACAAGTCCAAAAACTGTTTTAAGCAGTGGCTAAAAGTCTTAATATGTGTATTGCATCAAATGGAGAGTACTTTGAAGGTGACTGAAGTTTAAACATGTGGGAATAAATACACAATTTTTTATGAATAAATTCTGGTTTTGGGGGGGTCTCCCACCATATGTATCCCTGAAGAGTACAGTAGAGAAACAAAATCCTGAAATTTACAAATACATGGAAGATGACAGTAAGACAGAAAAGGAGGTGCCCTTTGAGCACGAGGGAAGGTGATTTTATTGATCACCAACTGAGGGGTGTGCTTTGTAGTTTAAGGTTGGTGTTCAGAGGCCACCATCCCAAAAATATTGGGTCAGAGGAACCATCCATTTAAAGGTTTTCATGTTTAAATTGTATATCCAGCTGGAATTCATATGGTTTATTTTGTACAATAAATCAGCAAACATTTGTTGAACGCAGCACTTATGCAAGACTTTTGGCTTGGCAGTGTGTGAGATAATACTATAACCACGGCTTTCACTTTTAGGCACTAAATGCATCTGCCAACATTGTGCTCAGTCTCTCTCTCTCTCTCTCTCTCTCTATATATATATATGTACATATTTTCTGATTTGGATGAAACAGAAGACAAGGTTTGGATAAGGAATATTAAATGTTACTGAATGCACAAGCTAGGAGATGATAAATGCTAAGTCATGTCGAAAGTAAATGCTGTCAGAAGAAGACCTCATATGACCTTTGGTAAGAAAGGGTGCTGGTATTCATCAAGCAACTATTTGCTAAATTATGAGTTGCTTAGCACATTATTAATGCTCATAAAAATCTAATGAGATCAGTATTCTCCCCAGTTTTAGGTGAAGAAACTGAGCCTCAATGGATTGTCAATTGTCCAAAGCCACTTAGCTGAACCATCAGGGTCCAGATTTTAAATCCGGAGCTGTGTGACTACGAAGTGCCTGTGCTTCTGCATCCTGTCCTGTTGCTATCTTTGAATTCACTGCTTAGTGGGGGTTTCACATGAGAGGCCAAAACTGGATAGTGTCTGGTGAACCCAATTTCATGGTGGCTTCTAATAACTGCATTTCAAAACACATGAACTGTTAGACTGATCAGAATGTCAATAGCAGGCTGTGGTCCTGGCGTTTTGCAAGATCCTTGTGTGCTCTGTTCCGCTGTGTTTGGAGAGCCTGACCTCGTAGATGACCTGCTTAGAGATGAAGCTGGGAGATCTGCTGGATAAATATCAATGTGATCAAAACATGTCCTGTGGTTACACATTTGGGCATTTGAAGAGTCATCTAAGATTGTATCATGTGCCCAGGGAATATCAGAGTCCAAGTAGGGAAGTGACCTATAGGGATACTGGCAAATCTAAGCAATTTGGGGTGTACCTATAGATGTCATACTTCTGTTCTAGTATCTTACCATGGAAGCAAGTAAAGGAAAAACCTCAAACAAGGCAACTCTGTCCTATTTTACTTCTATTATCTTAGAAAAGAAACCATTTGTGATGCTGCTTTAGCTGGAAGCATCGTGACAGGTGGAAAATAAGGGGTTTGGGGCATCAATCATACGTGGGTTAGGATGCCAGCTTTGCCACTTATTATCTATGTCATTTTGGCTGTATGGTCTTACCACATAACCTCTGTCAATCATTCCTCTACTTACTGAGCACGTACTACACATCAGGCATGGTGCTAGGTGCTAAGGGAAGAGTGGTAAACAGGACATTCATTTCCTGTCTTCGTGCACCTAGCATGGAGACAGATATTAAAAAAAAACACATGAATAGTTTAATATCAGTTTTTATATGTGCAGGGTGCTGTATGAGCATAAAAGAGGGGACCCTGAGAGTCTCTTGATGTTTTAGCTGAGCAAGAGCTGAAAGTTCAGGAGCTTGGCATATAGATAAGAGAGTTAGAGAACATACTAGGCAGACACAGCAATAGTGTATGCAAAGGTCCTGAGACAGGGAAGGGCTTGAAACCTATAAAGTCATAGTTCTCAACCCTAGCAAATGTATTGTTTCCTTTCTGTCACAAGAAATTTTTACAATATCTCTTCTCCTGTTCCAAAATGAAATTCATAGATAATAAACTTACCTTCACACATAATTTTAAAAACTAGAGTGCACTCTATATAAAACAGTTAAAGGGGAGTAGCTTTTAGTCTAATAATTTACTCAAAAATGCAAACTCAAAGCATGCCAGTACTGAAAACATAATGAAAAAATCAGAATGAACTTATATTTAAAGATTACTGAGCATGCAAATTCAGGTTGCATTCAGGTTGCAACTACAAATGCAGATTGATATCACTGAGCTTTATCAATTACTTAGTCTTTCTACATTTGTCTCTGTTATGTGTTGTGTTCACAGTGAAGATTTACTTAGATAGCAAATATATCATTGGTATTATGCAAATAAGTGTAAATTACCTCCTCCTACTTTTCAGGCCCATGTTCCTGAGTCAGCAGATCTCTTGCTTTTCCATTGTATTTGTTTTTCTTACTAAGGCCTTCTCCAGAGAAGCCTTCCAATAGCAACCACCCCCCGAAACCAGCTGAAAGTGGCAGTGTCTTTTCCATCCAGGGCCTGGAAAAAATTGAGTAGAAATGACTGGCAGGTAACATTCCAAAGACTTTCCCCATTGGAACTCATTGGTTCCTACAGATGTCATTGGCACTTTACATTTACTCTGTAGAATCACATATTTTGGGTGCTAAGAGTGTTAGTCACTCCAATATTATTACTGAGGATAAAAATTAAAATCATGTTGGAATATCATCCTTAATCAAGAGAAAATTTCCCATTTTGATGGCTACCTGGATTAATTTTTTGTTGTTCTTTGAGGGTATCGAAGTTGGAAAATTCTTCCCCTCAAGCTTTTACTGCCACAGATGGCCACATTTCTAACGATTGAGTAAAGATGAAGGATTTGATGTGTATTACACCTAACCAAGTCCTGTGGTTAACTTGAATAAAAGATGGACTTTGTTTCAGAAAATGAGAAAAAGGGTTAGGGGAAGGGGCAGACGGTGAA